TCTTAATATATTTTCTGATTCAATTATTTACAGACCTTTCTAGTATCAGGTTCATTTGTAATTTTTGGTATAATCATGATCAATAATAGTGGTAGTATCATCATCAATACCTGGAAAAATGCAAAAATATGGTGGACCGTTTTTTTTTTAAATAAATGTGATTTGTTAAATTAATTATTATACCATTGGATTGAACAAAAAGTCTGTAACTCTCCACTGTTCTCTGACTTGAAAATAACGGAATGGGGTAAGTGGCCTCATTTTCAGTGGGTAGGGGACCTGTATCACTTGTGATGTTTGAATCAGATTAACTTTTCTTGCTCTGAATTTTCCCTTAGAATTAATTTCTACTCTTACAGGCTCATAAACATAATTGGGGTTGACAACTTCGATTACGTATGAGCCAGATGGTACATTTGAGATAATAAACGTTCCGTCCTCCCTAAAAGTATTAAATGTACAATGTACAAAAATACTATTAGAAATCCTAACCTATACAAACGACAAAATGTATTTGCTCCTTGTATGAGATATGTACGACTTACGAAAGAAGTAATCGTTTCGTTTAACAATAATCGATTCTTACTCGTTCGTTAGAGATATTTGACATAATTATTACCTTAAGAAACCGTAATGTTCTCCACCGTTGGCCATGACGTGTGTCATCAGTTGCCATCCGTTTGGAGCCCCGTTTTCCCACGGGAAAACTTTTCCCTCGATAACGTACAGATCCGTAGACGCGTCCTCATCGTTTTCGGCAATTACACATTTATTTGACGTGTTGACAATAACGAAAAATAGAAAAATCACGATTTTGTACATAATCATGTTGACTAATATACTTAACGAACGATAGGAAGTTTGCCCTCGATACTTTTCATAGCTGCCAATGTATTACAGCCATAAAGCCGAACATTGCTTTATTAGAACGATTTAATTGTAGAAATAAGGAACAATTTTTAGAAGTACGTTATAAAACTTGATATATTATTGAAATCGTTATTTTATTTGTGCAGTTTTTGATTCTAAAATAACTCTGCTGTAAATTATTTCTCGCTTATTTATGTTGTTATGTTGGGGTTGATGATTCCATATAAGATTGAGACGATTGTTCAGCGCGTTTCAGAGTTAGATAGAATCAGATGGAATTCAGGTTATAGATGTTATCGTGATTGTGACTTTGTCTCTTGCAAGAAATAAACTTATTATTATAAAAGTGTATATTTAAATTATTAAAGAAATCGGAAACGAGAAACGTAAAAATGGAAGAGAAATTACGTCAAATGGAAGATGAGATGAACAGGTACAGAGTATTTAAATTCATAGACGATCCTTCTAACCTGTTATATTTCAACGATTTAGTTGTTTGTTCAACGATTTGCTTATATATATTTCTTTTGAATATTTGTACAACCACTTGACATGACATTCGAGAAGCTGCCTTCAATAGTACAAGTTCTAAGATGCTTTTAATTAATCGCAAGTTCAAATGAATTTTCAGGTTTGAAGCCGAGATTGGTGGGCAATTAGTCACGCCTATGGCGAGGCCCGTGATCGGAGCAAATACTTATAATCAAGTAGCCAGACAATTAGAACAGCATGAACTTCCAACACCTGTTGTTGCCGCTGCTGCAGCTAGTTTAGCTTTCCCTCCGATGATCGGATTCCCACCACCACCACCGCCGCCACCACCACCGCCTCCACCACCCCCAATGCTAATCCCACAACAAGTTGCAAGACAAGGTAAATAATCATATTTATTAGGAATGTGCGGGTACCCGAAAATTTACGTATCCAAACATGTGATGGTCAAACTTTCGAAATGAGGCTCGGGTGCTCAGAATTTACGAGTACCCGCACACTCCTAGTATTTATACTTTATACTTCAAGTTACATTCGTTTCAGAATTGTTATTAATGAAGTATTTTTTACGTAGGTACGGTTCCTTCTATTACAACCTATTCGTCGCCTGCACAGATAAGTAATCCGTATTTACCGAACATGGTGGACACGTGTTTAACCGCTACCCCGAAAACTTATGAATCCACGTCGACGCCAATGATTCATCCAGAAATTATTGAACAGATTATCAATACAAAGATTCCTGAAGATGACAGCAAAAAGAAACCCAAAGTGAAAGGTGTTAGCACTGCCGCCGAATTGGCGATTAGTCAAGGGAAAGCGAGCTCGATTATGGCCAACGCCAGCGCGGAGGAGTCTCACCCGAAAGGTAAAGGGAAGAAGAACAAGAAGATCGTGAGAATGGCTGGTGGTCAGATTTGGGAAGATTCTTCTCTTTTGGAGTGGGACGAAGGTTAATAAATTTCTGCCTGCTTTCATGAATTTTATTTTCCATTTAAACACATTTTACAATTATTTTTTCTTGTTATAGACGATTTCAGAATATTCTGTGGAGACTTAGGAAATGACGTCACGGATGAAATGCTTGTAAGGGTCTTCGGCAAATATCCGAGCTTCCAAAAAGCTAAGGTAGTCAGAGATAAAAGAACGAACAAGACGAAAGGATTCGGATTCGTCTCGTTCAAGGATCCACAAGATTTCATTAAGGCGATGAAGGAGATGAACGGTGAGTCAATAATTAACACATTATTAGATCGCGGATTTTATTTTTAAGAAACTTTAGAGAATGTCTGTATCATTACTTTTGTTAAGTAAAAGAGATTTGGAGCTAGATTTAATTTTTGACATAAAAATCCGCAGTCTACTTATCGTGATAATGAACGAGCGAACTCAGCTATTAGATATAGAAGAGTAACAAACATTTTCATACATCTACTTTTTGTTGACGAGATTAAGAACTTTCACGACTAGAATCAAGAGCGTTAAAAAGACGATTAAGAGTAGTACCTTAACAATATGGGCACTATTGTACCGTGCAATAATCGTTCTTTCACGTTTATTTCATAATTCCTTACTGGCATGGTTCCCACGTGGACTATGTGGATTCATGTAGAGTACAGAAAAGGGCATGCCACCGGCGCTCCAGTTACGAGACATAACACCATCCTTCTTTGACAATCTATTCCCGCCGTGCTTGTTAGTCATCGGCGATTGGTGAATCTGTTTGGTCAACACTGGTAAATCGCCAGTCCATTCTTCCATCGTATTCGAATCTAAGCTCATTGCTTCTCGCCGGATGTCCATTCTGCGAATCGTAAAAAATATTAATCCACATTTTGGTGACGAGGGATCGAAGATTTACTGCCTTCCTTAATTACAACATTATAGCTTTTATTTCCTCATTTATTGGGAGTTCCAAAAAAATGGAAGTTTTATACGAGTGTCCTTAAAGAACTCCGTTTCTCTTAATTCTGTTAACAATGTAAGGATAGCAGATTTTGAGAGAAAGAAATAAACACTTTGTCTCGGGTATGGTAGCAAGGTCCTCGGGAATCTTCTCCAGTGGGAACCATTCCCAGCAGCCTTCGTTCGATGTGCACGCGGACGTCACTACAGAATCCTGTTCCAGTGTGTTTGTTAAGTCGATTAATGGTACCGCTCGACAACACACCATACAGAAAGCATTAATCGCCAAGGCGTAGATCATGTTAGGGAAAAGCATCCTACTTTTCTCTTTTTTCGTTCGACGTCTTTCTCGTATTCGTTTCCGCCTCCGCGAAACGATTCGTTCGTTTCTCTGACAAGCTTCTTTCCTTGCAAGTTCTGAAAAAGCATGATAAATTCAGGTATAATGACAATAAGTACTAAACTTACCTATTATATAATAATAAATATCTTATCGTGATGAGAATTGGCAAGAATATTACGTGGGAACAACATATATTTGGTTTGCAATAAATTCAGCAATTTCCGATCGCGATAGGAATGTTGTATTGATTTTATAAATTGCGCGTAAACGAATTAACAGATACTGAAAAAGTTTACGCGCTGAATTGAACCGATGAGATAAATTAAATTGAAACGTGGGTGAATATGTATCTTGTCGATCGTTATTAGGACGATCGCGAGTCCCTCGAGTTTTGACGACAGCCGAATGCGCGTTGTTTATATTTCTGAGAAATTTTTGCAATGGGCACATTACTATTTATAACAACACTCCTGCTAAATTTAGTGCAGTAAGTATCCAGTAACTTGCCGATTTTAGTTACCGCAGGATCAGGCTGCTTGCATGGGACATTCTTCCACACAAACAGTATGAGTAGGAAGCATTTGATTTTAAAAGGTAAACATTTACGGCCACCTGGAGTATATATATGTCTATGTATGGGGTAGAACTCGATTTTCCTACTTCTAAACTTTGGGCCCCTTTAAAATGATTAAATTTTATCGAAAGAGAAATTGTAATGGATCATCCTTATGTACATATATCAAGAGTATAGTACATATAATTTCTTAATTTAATTAATGCCACAAATGATTTATTTTACACAATAACCCATAGTTTATTACCAAAATGTATTTATTACTGGTTGATAGACTTTTATGTGCGACTTTCATTTAGATTAACATAATATTTTGGAAAAAGTGTTTCAACTCTTCAAGAAACATTGGTGATAAGAAAATAATTATGATGTTTAACTGAAAGGAAGCTTTTCTCGCCTGAAAATTTTTCTTCGGGCTACATTAATCCAATTGGAAACACCGTGAATTTTTTTTTAACGAGCAGCAATTTGATTACAGTTATGTAAATTAGCTAGAGAAAAAAAGCTGCCTACGCTAATTTGCATTTATCCAGTTGGAAAGATGGTTATATTTATAAGAAGTTAGAAGGGTCGTGAATATTTTCATTACTTTCGTTTTCAATGGAACTGGCAAAGATTTGTACGGATATGTTTTACTCGTATTTATAATTACTTCAGTAACATATGTATATACTTTTATATATATATATATACTTTATTATTCTTTTATCGATTAATTATGGTTAAAGCTTTATTTTTTAAGTGTGAACAATTAGGCAAGCTAAAGAAATTGATGAAAATTTATTTAAGACAAACCAAATATTATTGTTATTATTATTGTTTAATTGCTTGAGAATTATGCCTATACAGTACAATCTTTACTATGTTATATGCGCTTATTCTACTTATAAGTTATATGAAAATCTTATATGTATAACTAAAAGAATACTTTAGCTGAAGGCTATAATATCAGCTGTTAAAGTCGATTAGAAGAATTGATAGATTAAATACATTTCAAGAAATAAAACATTTGTCAAATATTTCTTTTAATAAGAAGGAAATAGTGCAATAAGGAAATAATATAAGCAAAATAATCAGTTGAGGAAAATGTGGAAAATGAAATACCAATATAAGGAAAATAACGCATTTCACTTTTAATGTATTTTATTCCGTCTATTAATATCTTCGATATTGAACATAACAGTTTTCACTCATTCATTCAGTTTTGAGAATTTAGAAGCAATGCTCTTTTTAATGAATTTTATTCTCTCGGGCGGTACAGCGTCATTCTATTACCAGCAAATTTGTATTACTGGCAAAGGGAAACCAACAAATTATCGTCATTATATAGAACGTTCGATTTTACAATTTCCGCCTGTAAACAGGTAGCAAATCCGAAATGTCAAACGAGTAATTCGAATAGGAAGTTTTCAACACTATTAGCGGTAACGAAATCAATTTAAATCTGATACATAAATGTTATCGTGTCTTGTCTCCATAGGGTAAACTAGCAAAATCGAGAACGGGTCGGGAATCATTGTCCCAAACTGTACATATTTCATCAATAATACTAAATACTTAGAAGATAATAAAAGAACTATTGTTATGAAATAGCGATTGATGTAATAGAAGAATAAAGCTCTGAAATAATTGGAAACAGTAAAAATTCTCCTCGCACAATGTTAAAGGGTGGAGAACATAGTAATTGAACGACTTTAATAAATCTTATATCGTATTTCAATCGAAAATATCTCTTAAGCACACAGCTTATAAAGCAAGTAGAACACTTTTCTAAAGATTGTGTAGCCAGAACACCTTAAGAACATCTTATATTTATTGCATTAACAAAGGAGCATAGCAACAGTAGCATTACTCTCTAAATTATATTAAAGAAAAGAAAATACAATGAAAGTGCAATGAGTAGAATTCAATTGTAAAATGCTTACCGTGGAAGCTAATGTCCTTTTCGTTAAGTCGTCGGTTCGGTTAATTCGTAAGTCGAAGTTCGGTTGTCACTTCGCGCACAGTTTCCTCGTGGGTTTCGGCGCGGTGAACACTCGGAGTCGTCACTTGGACATCCGTTTACTCGTCGTGGTGTCAGCGACGGAGTGCGTTCCGACGTCGTCCGTCCTCCGGTAATCATTCAACAACCCCTACCAGCACCGTTCTTTCCTGTAAACCCCCCACCTGGTCGTGGTATAGCCAATCCGGTTTGTTTTCTTCGATGAGCAACTGGTCCCGTAAACTTCATGTCCTTTTCTTCATCGGCACCCTTTGTTCAGGTCATCGTCATCAAATATTCTCTTCTTTTTTCATCTCCTCATTCCTTCAACTCTTGCGGCTTATAAGAGCTTTTAATGAGAGAGAGTTCATAGAAATAATCTTTCACGATTTATTTATTTATTTGTACAGATCAAAATGTGTACAGCTATTAACAAGTTTAATATCTGTAACGCCATGAAGTCTTTTGATAGTTCTCAATGGAACTGCTTTTAATTGCACATGATTTCATATTGTATAATATTAACTTTCGGTTTGTTTGAGATATTTCATTTAATTCAATTTTGTTCAAATTAAATAAAAATACTTGAGAGACAATTCGTAATTTCATTTTCAAATACTCGACGATGAATGTTAAACTTTAATATAAAATAAAACAGTTATTTTACATTACTTGTAATTACTTAATTGAATTGAATAATTTTAATCTTGCTCCTTCCACAGCTTTGGTAATATTGTATAATATAAATGTACGACATATAATGTACAATAATATAATACAGTATGATATGAAACATTTCCTGATTGCGTTGCAACTATCGAAATTAATTTTTCTTAAAAAGATCAATCAGTGTCCTCGTTCCCGATTCGTTTCGCATTTTTTCGCGATTCTTCTTCCTTCTTCTGTTCGTTTTTTGGCTTCGAATGTCGAATGAATCAGAGTGATGCCGTATGCAGCCGCTGATGTCCACGGTGACTATACGGTGGGTGTGAAATGCCGCGCATATTTCCGTTGGTATATTTAATTTTGCGACGAGGCGAGGATCGCGTCTCGATTACAAAATAAACATATTGTCTCCAAATAGAAAGAGAGTCTGTTGCGAATTATGTACCCGGGGGTGACCTGTCGAAGCAGGCGGCCAAAGCCTGAACAAGTCGGTCTATTTATTAGCTTGACTAACAGCTGGGTTCGCATTTTTTTACCACCAGATCAATCGTACAGTTCCACGAATTTCTCTAATTGAATTAAAGCAGAACGTCAATATTCGAACTAGTTGCAAACTAGAGGCAAACTCGGGTCGGACGAATGATTTTTAGTCGGTCTGAAAATATGAAACTGCGGATCTGTATACAAAATAAAACATTGATCGTCAAAAAAGTGTGTTTTAGATAAACAATTTAAGTATCATAATATGATATAAGCTTTTGATATTTTATGTATATAATAAATAATCAATCAATATTCTATCATCAATGTTGGCGGGTCGCAGAATAGCTCTATCGCAAAACGATAGGTGTTTAGACCTTGCTTATATCACTATAGCTATTAGCCATGTATAATATTTATGATACTGTAGTAGCGCATCTTGTGACATCTGATGAAGTTAGTTAGAAGTAATCAATTAAAAAAATACATTGCAGATAGATATTTGTTTTACCTAAGGATGGGTTAAATCGTGGAAGTGATGATCATTCGAACGGATATACGAGCGACTGTTTGAGGTACCCGGTGACTCGGTCTCCGCCGGTATCCCGGGTGTAACCTTGCGATCGTATTGACTAGACTTACACATCTGATCAACGATTTAACTTCTTTCTCTGATCATTTTTAAAAACATTCTTTTTAAAATTTTTTAAAGGACATTTAGTTCAGATTTTGATTAAGAATTACAAATCTGATTAACAATTTAATATTTCTCTCTGATTATTATGAGGATACCATCATTTCTTTTAAAAATTGAGATATTTCATTAAAACAAGTGCAAGTGACATTGATATCTTCTTTGAAGCGCCTCTACTACTGTTAAACTGACTCTAATAAAAAGAATTATTATTTCTGTAAGATGCCCCCGTTTGTGCAGGGTAACTGGTTAAACAAATCTTTTCCCAAATCTTCGATTTTCGAAGATAATTAGGTGATAATAGTTATTGGACCACTCTGTGTGTCTGTATTCATTTCATAGGATGACATTTTTTCTCATTTTTATAAAATCATTTCATCTTTCTTCATTCATCTTATTTTTATAAAATCTTATTATTTCGAAATCAATTGTATTCTTGATAAAAGCGATGCAATTGATCAAGTAAATGAAACGTTTGCTAATGATATTAATAAGAACAATTTGAAAAGCTTAAGGTTTCCGAGTAAAATTTCACTTTCAATTATCCGGATAATAATTAACTTCTCGTAATTATATAACGAACAGTGCAATACTTAAACAGATTTAATTATTAACTACTATTACCACTACTATTAAAAGGCACTTGCACTGTGTGTGTATGTGTCCGTCCGCCTTAGCAAGGGCAACCCGCCCGGAGGGCCTAGCTGAGGAGAAACTAAAGTAAAGATTTATATATAAAATAAAACCTGTACGTTATTAATTTAAGAATTCTGTTCTGCGATATTCAAAACAATTCTAAAAATAAAAGCTGTTACTAAAGGATAATAAAAACGAAAAAAAAAAGAGAAAATATCTTGATGGATCCCCCGCAAAAATAACTTCAATCGAACGAAATTACTGTTGTTTTTTGTTCTAGGGCGATACGTAGGCTCGCGACCGATAAAGCTGCGCAAGAGTTCGTGGAAGCAACGGAATTTGGAGACGGTACGGAAGAAAGAGAAAGAAAAGCAAACATTAATTGGTTTGTTGACCGGCCGGTGACGTGACCGACCGCCTTTCTTTCTTTTCTCATTCATACTTTCACCCGCCAATTGGGTTCTGGACGTTCGTTTCATTTAGAAGTGACGGAGTTCCCATCGAATTGTATCTCTACGTGTAAAGCACATACGTATTTGCTGTCGTTGAAGCTTCACACGTGATGGAGTTGAAAGGGGTTGTGTAAAAGCTGCAGTTATATCGTGAATGTATTTGAAATAAATTGACAACGTGATTAATCGTTTCATCGTTCATTTATATACCGCCAAAAGATTCAATCCTTTTTAATGAACTAATGATTTTTTACTTTTATGTTTTAGGACGTTCTCGTAAAAATTAACTTGCTTTTAAACTTGTAATAAATGTTAATTTAACTGTCCTTTATATGCGTTTCTAGGGATGGTTGCCACTAGAGAAAATTTACGAGGTCCTTGATAACATATCGTGACAAAGTGTTCATTTCTTTCTCTCAAACGCTGCTTTCCTAACGTTTTTAACAGAATTATGAAAAACGACATTTCATTGATTTAAAGATAGTCGCTTAGAGTCTATTTTCTTAAATGTCTTTTGAAACTTATAATAAATGTCAATTTAAGTCTCCATTACATGTGCTTGAAAATTGAACACTCGTTACGGTATTAAAAATCGAGGTATTCAACGTTAAAGTTTGAAATGGAATACCTATATAAAGTTTGTTCAAAAGATATTTCTTAAGAATGGTAATAAAAAAAGCAACTCAATTTCTTCCTAGTTACTCGATTCTTTCAAGCTACTTGGTTCTTTTGAATTATTCAATTTTTCCGAGATCGAATAAAAAAACCGCGTCTCTGTTCAGTTTGAATTTCAAGCTGCTCGAATATTCAAAAAGCAGTTGAAAGCATTTATTGATAACAAAACAAAATACATTAACATCGTTTATGAACAACAAAATGCGTGGCGGACGTATATAAAAATTAAAAATGGCACAATATCCGGAAATCGGTGGGGAGAAGGGAGAAGAAGAAGTAAATCCATTAGGGGTAGGAGTTTCCCTTTTTATCATTATAAAAGTCTCTTTTATTAACCTAAATGGTGATTCGGCGAGTCGTTTTATTCGTTGGATCTACGTTGAACAATCTATATGCGTTCCAGTGAGAAATCAGCCAAATGGCTGGAAAATCTTCTTTTTAAAAACGACAGCTGATCTATTGGATGGTTTCATGATAGAAAGAATTTTTAATTTTCTTCAAATTAAAAAATATCAGGTTTTTTATTATAACTTGATGTTATATTTGATGAATTGCATTAGCTGCATTCGACGCTTTATGAAACGACTGTAGTTGTACGAAGGTCAGCGGAATGATAAGGGTGACAGACACGGCCAAGGGAAAGCTTTGCTCCCGAACGGAGACATGTACGTTGGCCAGTATTGCAAAGGATTGAGGCACGGCCGCGGATTGTACGTCTTTAAAATCGGTGCTCGTTACGACGGCGAGTGGAGGCAGGGTGTCAAATATGGCCAAGGAACCTTTTGGTATCCTGATGGAACGCGATACGAAGGTAGAATGCAATCGCAGATCAATTGAAGGCACACGCGAATATCACATTTATCTAAATTCTATACAAATAAAACATTCGTGATAATCTTTTTAAATAATGATTTTCATACAGACATTTTTTATAATATTTTATAACTATGTTCTATCACTGTTGGCGTAGTTTTATACAACATTTTTATTTCCTGTGTAATTAATTCCTTTTATAAATCTATATATGAAATATTAAATAATAAACTGCAGAATCTATATATTAATGAGTCACGTAATGTAGTAATAATTAAAAAAAGTGGCAAGTTTTATGCAATGCCTGCAGATAAGCGTGTTTCACAGGCGAGTGGAAACGCGACACGAAGTACGGTTTCGGCGTGTACTATTATATAAACGGAGACGTTTATGAAGGTTCTTGGCGGAAGAATCTTCGCCATGGGATGGGTTCATACTCTTACGCAGACACGAACACGAAATTCATGGGTACGTGGATCAAAGATCGTATGCAAGGTCCTGGACAATTGATCCACCCTCGGCATAGATTTCACGGACATTGGGAACTGAATTTAGTAAGTTTTCAAGGAGATAATGCAGTAGGCCTGTTTTAAAATGGAACCAGTTTTATATAAGTATAAACGCATTAAGTTTTGAAGAAGATAATGCATTCGATCTATTTGTGCATTTTACTATAATAAATGTAATAAATAAATGTATGATATCAAACACATATTAAAAAATGTGTAACTAAAAAGATTTAAGCCATTGGACAATTGGAAGTGAAAATCGAATGATATTAATAGCATACATATTTTTGTAATTAGGATATTGAATGTATAATAAGAATATGAAACAGTGTTAAGAAAAATTACGATCACAGCCTTATGGTCGAGGATGCTTCACGTTCGAGAATGCTTGCATGCTACACGGACACTACGTACACCTGAAGGATCCCGACTACGATGAGACAAAAGAAGTTCCCGAAGTGAGGATTCTTTTCCAAAACAATTACCTCCTCTGCCCGAATATAAGAGTCAACATTGATTTTTCAAATGTGACTCTTATTTTCGGATCATTTTCTCTAAAATTAAATAGTGAAATCAATAAATTTCAATCACGACTGAAGGAAGTCCCAGAAACTGAGATCGCGGGAAGAAAAGGTGAAGGCGCAGAAGACGAACTAGAGGACGTTGATGCTGTAGTCGCGAAGTCGGAAGAACCACAACCTGTACCATTCGAGCCACCCCCTTTGAGGAGAGGCGTCATCGCGTTCTGGCGTGCACGTTGCATTACGCCTTACAATCCTGATTTATTGCCGCCGGAACCTGTACCTCTGCAAGAAGAGGTAAGATTATCTTTTAAAAGTGTGTGTATTGAATGTAAGGATCGAAACGAAAATCTTTCTCAGGATCGAGACAGGTTTTTGAAAATTCCCCGATTCTCGAATATGTTGAGATTGTTTGGAAATCTTAAGGATGTATTGGCTATACAGTCAATCCCAAAAGTTTATGTACCTTAGGAAAACGCATTTCCTATAATTAAAAAGAAATCAGACGTCGGAAGAATAATGCTAATAATAAATAGCTACGTGCTAAAAGGTATAGAAGGAAATATCCAATTAAGTATTGACGCTGACGAAAATTTTTCTTTTCAAATGTAAGGATAAGCTATAAACTTTATTAAATCGCAAGAAATTGTTCCTAATACGGCGTGTTCGCTGTTATGCGTCTGGGCGCTCGCAAGGAACTATTGCTGCTTTGACTCGTCGCTTTCCCAACGTCCTTTTTAAGGGGTGGAAATACGCTGTGGTCTTATCGGCCTGGCCCAAACAATGTGGCCGGGACTTAGCCATCTGTTTTCTATCGGAGAGGCCTCTTCCTACGCCGTTAGTCTTTCGACTTCGCTTACAAAAGATATTTCTGCACTTATTTTCAACACCATTAGTTAATTGAAAGCTGATTGGAAATTCTGATGATTTTAATTAAATTTTATGTCAAACCCACAGCAACTCTCGTAGTTATCGTTTACGATATACGTTCGCTTTAACTATTTTTATCAGACCTGATAACGAACAATAT